CTGCAAGGTCACAGCCACGTGCGTGGAACTGGAATGTTCAGGAGCACTGATGCAGAGTCCTGGGCGGGGCCACGGCACGGTCCCGACTGGAGAGCGCACCGTCCCCGTGAACAAGGGCGTCCCTCGTGTCCCTCTCCAGGGCAGCACGCCGCCTGTCAGTGAAGAACTCTTCCGCGGCCACCGCGGCCGTGCCAGTGACAAAGTGAGCGTTCCGGGGAAAAGCCTTTAGCTCAGCAGACCTGAGACAGGTCCCTGCTCAAGCACAGCTCGGTCATTTGCCTTTCAAACTGGACAAGTGCTTCAGTGCTGCAGCTCCTGTCCCGGGAAGCAGAGAGGCAGGGACAAAGCACCCCACCACTGAGCCCCGGGTGAAGGTGCTCAGTAAGTCCCCCCCAGCCCACTCTCCTGCCCAGGCACCTCAGCCCAGTGCACTGCCTCACTATCTCTCTCCCAGCTGGATGCTGCGTGCCCGGCACTGTCCTGCCCAGGCACCTCAGCCCAGTGCACTGCCTCCCTCCCTGTCTCCCAGCTGGATGCTGCGTGCCCGGCACTGTCCTGCCCAGGCACCTCAGCCCAGTGCACTGCCTCCCTCCCTGTCTCCCAGCTGGATGCTGCGTGCCCGGCACTGTCCTGCCCAGGCACCTCAGCCCAGTGCACTGCCTCACTATCTCTCTCCCAGCTGGATGCTGCGTGCCCGGCGCTGTCCTGCCCAGGCACCTCAGCCCAGTGCACTGCCTCACTATCTCTCTCCCAGCTGGATGCTGCGTGCCCTGCGCTGTCCTGCCCAGGCACCTCAGCCCAGTGCACTGCCTCACTATCTCTCTCCCAGCTGGATGCTGCGTGCCCGGCACTGTCCTGCCCAGGCACCTCAGCCCAGTGCACTGCCTCCCTCCCTGTCTCCCAGCTGGCTGCTGCGTGCCCGGCGCTCTCCTGCCCAGGCACCTCAGCCCAGTGCACTGCCTCACTATCTCTCTCCCAGCTGGATGCTGCGTGCCCGGCGCTGTCCTGCCCAGGCACCTCAGCCCAGTGCACTGCCTCCCTCCCTCTCTCCCAGCTGGCTGCTGTGTGCCCTGCGCTGTCCCACGTGGAGCCTGAGTGTCCCAGGGCACACATGGGAACCCCGATATCAATACTTCCCAAGCTCCTCAGGTGACACGACCGTACATCCAAAATGGAAAGCCAAGTAAGAGGGCAGCCGGAAGCTGCCACATCTTGCTGCTCCCTGGCCCGTCCAGCCCCGGCAGGCACTCAGCAGAGCCCATGTCACAGCATGCTGCAGTTGGCACAAACCCTGACACCACAGTTCACCCCAAGACACCAACCTGCTGAAGTACCAGAACAGCACAGCGTGAACCGCCGAAACCCTGGCCTCAGGAGCTGGGCAGCTGACAGTGGACCCTCTGTGACACCCTGCACACCCACCAGGCGCCCTCCACACCGCTCTCCAGGACACCCTGTGACATGCACTTGCAAAGGGCCTGGCCCGGGGCAGGAGGAGAAACTCCTGCTGAATCAGGGGTGAATGATGAGCACCCTTCACTGTGCTCCCCAAATCTGTGATGACAGACACCTGCTCTGCTAACTGTCTGGGAGTGACCCAAGGACAGCAGAGAGGCTCCTGAGCGAACTCCTGGGTCAGAGATGACGGAACGAGAGAGGACGCCCCTGTCCCCGAGTTCTGTGCCCGAGCACCCTGCACTCAGGATTCCGCCTCCGGGGAGTTTCCCACAGGGGCACACAGCTGCGTCCAACAAAACAAGCAAAGAGCAAAGGCGGAGGACAGGCGTGCAGTGCACTGGGGGCTCCGACTCCGCAGGCCTCGGGCCTTCTGTGCAGTGAGACCCGAGTGTGTCCTGGGAGACGGAGCAGGCAGGGGTCCCTCTCTTCTCGGCAGGTCCTGTGAGGGGCTTGTTTTCCCTTCGCTGCTACTCCCCAGCCCCGGTTCAGTGAGACACAGTGAGCACTCGATAAACACAACCGAGTGAATGAGTGGACCGACCAAGGGGCTTTTCCAGAAATGCAGCCTCATCACTTCCCTGACCCGCTCAGGATGCGGCCGAGCTCATGCCCAGGCCCTGTGCACGGGCCACCCAGTCCCCTGACCCGCTCAGGATGCGGCCGAGCTCATGCCCAGGCCCTGTGCACGGGCCACCCAGTCCCCTGACCCGCTCAGGATGCGGCCGAGCTCATGCCCAGGCCCTGTGCACGGGCCACCCAGTCCCCTGACCCGCTCAGGATGCGGCCGAGCTCATGCCCAGGCCCTGTGCACGGGCCACCCAGTCCCCTGACCCGCTCAGGACACCCAGTCCCCTGACCCGCTCAGGATGCGGCCGAGCTCATGCCCAGGCCCTGTGCACGGGCCACCCAGTCCCCTGACCCGCTCAGGATGCGGCCGAGCTCATGCCCAGGCCCTGTGCACGGGACACCCAGTCCCCTGACCCGCTCAGGATGCGGCCGAGCTCATGCCCAGGCCCTGTGCACGGGACACCCAGTCCCCTGACCCGCTCAGGATGCGGCCGAGCTCATGCCCAGGCCCGGTGCACGGGACACCCAGTCCCCTGACCCGCTCAGGATGCGGCCGAGCTCATGCCCAGGCCCGGTGCACGGGACACCCAGTCCCCTGACCCGCTCAGGATGCGGCCGAGCTCATGCCCAGGCCCGGTGCACGGGACACCCAGTCCCCTGACCCGCTCAGGATGCGGCCGAGCTCATGCCCAGGCCCTGTGCACGGGACACCCAGTCCCCTGACCCGCTCAGGATGCGGCCGAGCTCATGCCCAGGCCCGGTGCACGGGACACCCAGTCCCCTGACCCGCTCAGGATGCGGCCAAGCTCATGCCCAGGCCCTGTGCACGGGCCACCCAGTCCCCTGACCCACTCAGGATGCGGCCGAGCTCATGCCCAGGCCCGGTGCACGGGCCACCCAGTCCCCTGACCCGCTCAGGATGCGGCCAAGCTCATGCCCAGGCCCTGTGCACGGGCCACCCAGTCCCCTGACCCGCTCAGGATGCGGCCGAGCTCATGCCCAGGCCCGGTGCACGGGCCACCCAGTCCCCTGACCCGCTCAGGATGCGGCCGAGCTCATGCCCAGGCCCTGTGCACGGGACACCCAGTCCCCTGACCCGCTCAGGATGCGGCCGAGCTCATGCCCAGGCCCTGTGCACGGGACACCCAGTCCCCTGACCCGCTCAGGATGCGGCCGAGCTCGTGCCCAGGCCCGGTGCACGGGACACCCAGTCCCCTGACCCGCTCAGGATGCGGCCGAGCTCGTGCCCAGGCCCGGTGCACGGGCCTCCCCAGCCCCCTGACCCGCTCAGGATGCGGCTGAGCTCATGCCCAGGCCCGGTGCACCGGCCTCCCCAGCCCCCAGTGACCCCTGGCTCCCCATCCCCTACCCCACCCAAGTGGCCGCCCCAGCTATGGCTTCTGCTCACCCAACCCCATTTTCCCCCTAGTCATATGACCTCCCATCTCCCTCACCCTGGAACACTGCCGTGCCCTTCAAGATGCCACAGAAGCACCATCTGCACCAAGAGGCCTGGCCCGACACCACGCGCATGACTGATGGACCTTTGGAAGGACGGGCTTTGCTCATTGACCTGACACTCATTTTCTACTCATCTGCCCACCAGGGCCCAGGAGACGGCCAAATGTGTTACTTCTCTCCCCTCCCCCACTCCCACTGCCCCAGACCCTAGGTGTACCCTCCCCTCCCTAAGACCTTGCCCTCTGCTTCCCGAACGGCTGCACCCCCACCTGAAATCCCTGCCCGTGTCCTATACCTCCCACAGGGACATGCTGCCCACTGTGCCACTCCCCTGAGCAAACCCACCCTCTCCTGATGACAGGGCTAGTCTGGTCCACCTGTCCCGGGCCGAGGGCCCCGCAGTCAGTGAGGTGACGCACAGGCCTGCGAACACCCCGACTGTCCTTCCCGGCACTCCCAGGACTCTGGTGACAGGCTCCGCCCACCACCGCCCTCCTTCCCACCAACCAGCAGAGGGGCGCCTGTGGCATCTCCCCTCTGCTCCTCCGCCCCCAAGACCCAGCGCACTGGACTGACGGTGCCCACAGAGACAGGGCAAGGAAGGACAGGAGCAGGGCACGGTCCCCACCAGCACGCGTCGGGTGCAGCACGCCCTCCGTGAACACAAACTGCAATGAAGAGCCTAATGGTATTTCCCCAAAACTTCCCACAATTCACTCTGAAGGTCCCGTAAGCTACCTTAGAGGGCGACTGAAAAACTAGACAGAAACACTCAGAACACACAAACAGAAGCACAAGCACTGGCAGCAGGTCTCATTCTAACAGCAAGGGAGTATGTAGTCAATAGACGTCAGTGCTCAAAGCTGCATCTGCGCGTAGGATCATGAGGTGCCACACTGCAAACTGATTACGACTCCTTAGCCAGAAAGTCTTTTCTATTCCGAAAGTCAGGCCCAGTTCAGAGCAAACACTGAGAGGAGGGCAGAGGCTGGCCCTCCCAAGCCACCGGGATTCCCAGCAGGGAGCCCTCATGTCCAGCGTGAGCCCCAGGTCCCCCTCCCAGAGGGAGAGGACGCAGAAGAACTCGACCCTCACGGAGAAACAAACCATTTCTCACAGAGATTCGTTTCCCTGACACCAGGCTGATACTGAAAGGAAAACACGGTCGAACCCATTATGCCCGTCACTGACTCCTCAGCTGACATAATCTTCTACACTGGAACCTTTCTACATCCCACCTTTGAAAATCTTACGAAGATTTTTTTTTAAACAGTAAAATTCAGAGGGGAGAAATACAGCTGCCGTAAGTATGACTCACGTTTTCCAGCTTTGTCAAACCAAGCTGGGGACAAAACAAAGGATGGAGACTGTCATCCCAACCCACACAAAGGCCCGGTCCCCGCACAGGACTGCACGCCGTCTGGAGGCGACCAGCCACGCTTCCGGCCAGACGAGGGGCCTGTCCTCCCAGGAGGAAGGAGGCGACGAGGAGGCCACGTCGATGAGACACTTACTGAGAGGAGCTTCCACGTAATCGGACGAACAGGCTTAGGGATCCCAGACCAGCTCAACTTCCGCAATTCCTCTGTCGGCAGAAAAGAGACAAGGAAATGGGTTTACAAACAGCCAACTCCCCGAGCGCTGCGCCTCCCACCGCGTTCTCGGGGCAGCAGCCCACATGGCACCCAGATGAGGCTCAGTGATGCAGACTTGATACTGATGTTGCCAGTATCCGAAAGCAGTGACCACGCTATTCACCCAGCGCTCAGCGCTGCCTGTGCATATGTAACTCAGAGAGGACATGTTTGTACACACATCCTTAGTGTCCCCAGCTCCACCCTGAGACAGGCGAGGACCAGAGGGTGCTGGTGCACCGCTTCCTCCCTCCCACCGCCTTCTCTGCTGCTCCGCCTTTTCGGAAACTTAATACCTGAATGAGGCCGTCTTCCTCTCTTTCATCCTGCCCCTCTCTTACCTTCACTCAGAACAGTGTGAGGTCTAAGAACACTGTGAGAGGTCTAAGAACACTGTGAGAGGTCTAAGAACACTGTGTGAGGTCTAAGAACACTGTGTGAGGTCTAAGAACACTGTGTGAGGTCTAAGAACACTGTGTGAGGTCTAAGAACACCGAGAGAGGTCTAAGAACACCGAGAGAGGTCTAAGAACACCGAGAGAGGTCTAAGAACACTGTGTGAGGTCTAAGAACACCGAGAGAGGTCTAAGAACACCGAGAGAGGTCTAAGAACACCGAGAGAGGTCTAAGAACACTGTGTGAGGTCTAAGAACACCGAGAGAGGTCTAAGAACACCGAGAGAGGTCTAAGAACACCGAGAGAGGTCTAAGAACACTGTGTGAGGTCTAAGAACACCGAGAGAGGTCTAAGAACACCGAGAGAGGTCTAAGAACACCGTGAGAGGTCTAAGAACTAAGAACACTGTGTGAGGTCTAAGAACACCGTGAGAGGTCTAAGAACACTGTGTGAGGTCTAAGAACACTGTGTGAGGTCTAAGAACACCGAGAGAGGTCTAAGAACACTGAGAGAGGTCTAAGAACACTGTGTGAGGTCTAAGAACACCGAGAGAGGTCTAAGAACATCGTGAGAGGTCTAAGAACACCGTGAGAGGTCTAAGAACACCGTGAGAGGTCTAAGAACACCGTGTGAGGTCTAAGAACACCGTGAGAGGTCTAAGAACACCGAGAGAGGTCTAAGAACACTGTGAGAGGTCTAGGAACACCGAGAGAGGTCTAGGAAGACCGTGAGAGGTCTAAGAACACTGTGAGAGGTCTAAGAACACTGTGAGAGGTCTAAGAACACCGAGAGAGGTCTAAGAACACCGTGTGAGGTCTAAGAACACCGTGAGAGGTCTAAGAACACTGAGAGAGGTCTAAGAACACTGTGTGAGGTCTAAGAACACCGAGAGAGGTCTAAGAACACTGTGTGAGGTCTAAGAACACTGTGAGAGGTCTAAGAACACTGTGAGAGGTCTAAGAACACTGTGAGGGGTCTAAGAACACTGTGTGAGGTCAAGAACACCGAGAGAGGTCTAAGAACACTGTGAGAGATCTAAGAACACTGTGAGAGGTCTAAGAACACTGTGTGAGGTCTAAGAACACTGTGTGAGGTCTAAGAACACTGTGAGGTCGCTCTCTCAGGACTAGTTTTGAAGGAAACCTTGCCATAGAGAAGCCTGTATATACAAAGCACAGATTATGGGTGTGGCCATGTTACACACACCAAGGACAACAAAATCTTCAGTCACTGTCGTCTGTACAAATACCTACAGGTAGGACGGGCACAGAGGGGCAGGTCTGGCCGGGGACAGAGGGAGTGGAGTCCAGAGCCTCCAGGGGGCAGGAGCGGGCAAAGCAGAGCATGGAGGGCAAGGGTAAACACCCCTGAACCCTGTCTGACCTCCCACCCACATGCTCTGAATGGCCACAAAACACACTTCAATTGTCGGCGTATCAACACTGGTCAGTCCCACTGAAACCAGACAATTATTTCTCTCCTTTAAGTTAGGGATCCACCATTAGACTCTTCTCCTAACAGCTCGTAGCTGATGATTAATAGTAGGAATGAAAGAAATGATTAAAGAGGCAACTTCGTAATATAATCAACAAAAAACAGAGTCCTGACATCTAATTTTTTCCCAATTACTAAAGTCTAAGCAAAGTAAGTAGAGAATAATGGGGCAATAGTTCCAGCAATAGCTTGCATTTTACAGCAATCTCGGAAAGTATCAAATCTTCCCCAGTCCCCTACGGACATTATGAAAAGCGAGACCTAAACCGGAACACCAGCCACGTCACGTTTACCCAGCGGGCTCCCAGGGCCGGCCCGCCTGCTGGAGGCTGGTTTCTGATCCCAGGCAGAAAGCAGGAGAGGTGTCAGGTGGTAATGTCCCAGAAGCTCTCCTCGGGGCGAGACCCACAGGAAGAAATGGAGCCTGCCTGCAGCTCCGGGCAGGCAAGGAGCTCGCCTGTGTGCGCAGCCGGACCTACTCAGGGCTGGAGCCACTATGTGGGTGAGGAAGCAGCAGCAGGCGCCACGGGACCTTCGATCCCAGGGCCTGTCCACACCACCACCCGCCACATCAGAAAGGGCCTCGAAACAGACCGATCTCATGTGTGAATACGGACGAAAGGGCCCGTGCAACAGAATCTCAACAACCAAACAGAGCAGGCACCCAGGGACAGCAGGGAGCAGGCTCCCCGGGAGTGAGCACAGGCTCCGTCAGGGAGCCCTGCAGCAGCTGCACAAGGCGCTGAGCTGGGCTGGCGGGCAAAGCCACAAGGCCATTCTCACAAGGTCAGCGCAGACCTCGGCCTGAGGCCCACCCGCCCTCCCACCTTTCCACCAGAGTTCCTGCTGTGCAAACCAAACCGCCAACCAGCATCTCTGGATGGGGATGTCAGCCCAGCCAGCACTGAACCCCCCCCCCGCCCCGCCCCACTGGAAAGGCAAGCCTGATAGACCCCGCCCCCACCAGACTGATTGGGCCATGGCCGACCCTATCTGCACCACTGAGAAGAGAGCCGGCTGGCTGGGCTGCTGAGAAAGCCCCTTGCTCCTGGGACCTTTGGAGGCAACCCTGTCTTGCGCGCTCCTGGGGCAGTGCTCAGGTCAGGCGTGAGGCTGGGGCCACTGCGGCCCTCAAGAACCAGACTGGCCCAGGGGTGCAGCCGACAGACAGACAGGCAGAACCAAGGTACGGCGGCAGGACCCAGGGTTCTGAGTTCAGCAAGATGGCCAGATACAAGAACATTCAAAAATCAATAGCTTTTCTCTATGAGCAAAAATAAATAAATAAGCAAACAAACAAACACATAAATAGAAAATGTTTTGGCATAAGCTTAAAAAGAAATGGGCAACGTACTTCTAGATCTGAGACTCAAAGTTGTCAAGATGTCAATTGTGGCCTTTAAAACATCGTTTATTCAATGTGAAGCCAACCGATTCCAACAGGACGTGCTGTGTGTTCTGACATCTGGTGAGCTAACCCTAAGTTCACTTGGAAGACTAGATGCGTAAGAACAGCCCCTGAAGTTTTCGAAAGGACACTGTGAAGGGACTTGCACTAACAGAGTCAGCATGTGGCGGCGACAGGGACTAAGCCAGAGGGGTCCAGGGGCAAGATGAACGCAAAGACAGCAAACCAGAATGAAGGCTCAAATCCAACCTGTACTTAGTCAAAATGAAAACAGCATTTCACATTAAGGAGCCGTCAACCAATGACGTCCAAGCAATTTCCAGAAGACTAAAAATTCAAAGATCGAAATGAGGTGAAATGGGGTGTGTGTGTGCCTCTGTGTGCGCGCGCATGTGTGTGTGTGTGTGTGTGTGTGTGTGTGAAAAAAAATTTTTTAATACTCCAAGAAAATACAGCACAATGTTTTGATATTTTCAGATGGAAGAAAGGACTTCTAAGCAAGATACAAATCTTGGAAAATATAAATAAGAAGATTCACAAATTAACTGGATAAAAGTCTGAAATTGACTGTATGGCCACAGATGCTACAACGTAAAAAACAAATGCTGACAGACCTGTGCAACATGCAATATAAAAAGCTTAGTGTTACTAACACATCCAAAACTAAGAGAGATCAAAACAAAAATCATAGAGCAGGAAACAGAAATGGTTAATAAACATACAAAAACAGACACACAACCTCAGTGGGAATCAAAGAACCGCACATTAAAACAAGAAATGTCACAAACTGAATGCAAATATAAATGAGCAACACCCAGTACAGGTGAAACGTCTCTCACAGCGTGGTAAGGTGTACACTGATGTTAACTCCTTTGACCAAATTTCATTTGAAGAAACCTATTGTAGCCCTGGCCAGTTTGGCTCAGCGGTTAGAGCATCGGCCTGCGGTCCAGAGAGACCTGGGTTCGGTTCCCGCTAAGGGCGCGTACCTTGGTTGTAGTTTGTCCCCGGCTCTGGTTGGGTTGTGCGGGTGGCAGCCACTCGATGTGTCCCTTTCACGTCAATGTTTCTGTCTCTCTCTTTCTCTCTCTCTCTCTTCCTCTCTCTCCCTCCCACTCTATCTGAACAAAAAATGAAAAAATGTCCTCAGGTGAGGATAAAATAAAAAAAAAAGAAACCTATTGTACAGGGATACCTACAAAGATACACAGGACTGTGCATAAGGGTGTTCATTTGAGTATTACCAAGGCAACAAGAAACTGGAAACAAAGTATCCATTAATAGGAAGATGATTAAAAACATGACGGGTACACCATACACTAGAATAACAACTGCCATATAAAAGAATGGATACCTTGCCCTGGCTGGTTTGGTTCAGTGGTTAGAGCATCAGCCTGCGGACCAATAGTCTCGGGTTTGATTACGGCCAAGGGCATGTACCTCAGTTGCAGTTTGTCCCAGGCCCTGGTCAGGGTCATGTGAGAGGCAACCTGTCGATGAGTGTCTCTCACATCAATGTCTGTCTGTCTGTCTGTCTGTCTCTCTCTCTCTCTCTCTCCCCCTCCCTCTCTCCCTCCCCTCTATTCTTATCTAAAGATAAATGGAAAAAATATCCTCAGGTGAGGATTTAAAAAATAAATAAAAAAGAATGGAT